AGAAGTGGAAAACATGTAGATTGGGACCAGTTGAGGAATGTTTTTGGAGAAGGTGAGTTGTTCAACTGGGTCTTAAATTTCCAGATGTGAAAATGAAAAAGGTAAAAGATGAAGACAGGTAAAAGAAGTATGCATTTTTGGAAATGAAATATCACAAGATAAGGCACAAATAATACAGACAAAGGTCACTTCTATTTCTTCTTCAATTGATTTTCATAACGTTGTATAGAGCTGCTCTATTATACTAGCTACAAGTGGCTGTTTAAATTTAATTAAAATAAAAAATTTAAAAATCCAGTTCCTCACTTGCACTAGCCACATTTTTTTAATAATCAATATTTTTTATTATGATATTGTGGGGTACAGTTAAGGGTTAGGTATACAAATATGCTTCGTTCAGGCACCCTTGTTGATAAGAGGTGTCTCCCTGTCCCCAGACAGGTATTGACTACCGTTAATCCCATCTCCCTTCCCCCGCCCCATAGTTTCCCACCACTGTCAGTCATTTTCTTATAATATTGTGTTGGATGTTCAAGGTCCACTTTATGAGTGAGAACATGTGATACTCGGATCTTTGTTTCTGTGAGAGGTCACTCAGTATTATAGACTCTAGTTCCATCCAGGTTACTAGCAACATTTCAAGTGATCAATAGTCACATGTGACTAGTGGCTATTTGTATTGAGCAATGTAAATATGTACACATCTATCATTGCAAAAAAATTCTACTGTTAAGTGTTATAATAAGTACTATTGAGCACTTGCCATCTGAAAAGCTCTCAAGGGGCCTATTTAATGTTCACAGCAACCTTATATAGCATACATTATAGATAAGAAAACTGAGGTTCCTAGAACTTAAGTATTTGTCCAAAGTCAGAGTCAGTAGCAGTGCTGTGATTGGAAATTTTATCTGACTCCTTAACAACTAATGCTTTAAGCCATGGAAAATAGAGTTGCTACATAGGGGGGAAAGGAGTCATTTACCAGAGACAATGATACCCAGCTTGACCTTTTTGTGTCAGGAAAAGTGGATTCTAAAGTAACAGAACAAAACCACATAGATGATATTTCTGTGTATTAAGTATATAATGTGTGTAGAGGAAAGTCAGCCCACATGATGTCTTTGGACAACTAGAAGAAAAGGCTACCTCTCTGAGAATGATGCATCCATATGGGCTTATAACTTAGTTAACACCATGTGAAGTAGATTCTGGCCCCTCCTCATCTACTTTGGGCACTCTTTTTCAAGAGGCAGAATTGGAAGCCATGGAGGAAAGAGGAGACTGTGCTATAATAGAGGCACTGCCAAAAGAAAGGGAAAAAAACAGCAAAAACAAAGTTGGAAGAAACAACCAAAAAAAAAACAAGGTTTAAAAAGTGGAAAAATAGGAGCAAAGTCCAAGTTTATTCCAAGATTTCTAGTATGTTGGTCCAAAACGCTGCAACACTTATAATAGAAAAGAGATGGAAAAAGAGAGCCAACTTCTGGTTTCTAGTCCAGTATGGAAGGAGCTCAGAAGTCATCATTCCCATCTACACAACAAGAAAAATAGCTGGACAAACTGTGGGGAAAAAAAACCCAACTTCTCTTAGTTTCATCAGATAATTGAGGTCACAGGCAAACCAAAATTGGAGAAATAGGTGAATACAGAGAATCACAAATTGCCTCAGGACCAGCGGCCTGGGTAGGAAAACCTGAACTGTAATTGCCAAATTGCTGGAGGCGTTGTGTGAACAAACCTGGACACATCTGACAGTTAAAAACTCTAGAGGGGCCCAGTTATAGGGAAGTCCCCACACTTTTGTGAGTTTTACCTCCAAGAGCTCAACTTGATTTTCACAGTGAATATCAGCAGAAGAAACCATTTTTTGAATTATGACAGAATATTCTGTTCTTAACAAGGTTCACCCTCAAAAGAAACTATCTTACCAGAGCCTAAAATCTGGTGGAAGGGAAATACCCAACCCCAGGTCTCTCTAAGAGCCTTTTAATCTCACCTAAGGTAAGGGAAGAGTGGGAATGGAAGAGGAAACACTTGTATAGTCCACAGTCCAGAGGCAAGGCTCACTAAAAGACTGAGTCCTAATTATAAAATTACAGCATGCGTCTCTTCCACACATCCTACCACCACACATCCATAGGGCTCCCATATAATAACAGCAAGTCACAATGGGAGAAACTGCACATCTTAGACCTTATTTAAGAAGTCTCTCAGAGCCTTATTTACTATAACCAGAGTGACAGATTGTGGTTAAAAAGAAAAAAAAAAACACCTGACTCAGAACCTGAATAGCAGAATTTTTTAAAAGGTTGAATTCATAACATATAGCATGTTTTCTACATAAAGTCAGGGCCCCGATGGGGAAGAAATGAGGCCCAGAGACCCAGGTTGGAGATTTCTGGGTGAGAACTTGAGGACTTTGAGTTGACAGGGGTGCACTCGCTCTCCTTGGCTAGAGGACAGTGGTCTGTCTTTGCCTGAAGACCATGCAGAAGTCTCACCCCGAGGAGGATGCCTTCCAAGATGCTTCCTTCTCTTTTCAAGATTTGCCAGGAGTCCCTCCCATCCATTGTTTCTAGGCCAATAACCAGGGTCTTCATCATGACCTGACTAGGATGCATTGTCCCTGTTTTGAAATAAAAAGGGTATTCACCAGTTATGTCCTGGCATAATTAGAAGAACATACCTGGGAACGCATCTTAGTGAATGTGTGAGAAAAGTGGTCTGAGTAAATATATAAATTTGCTGAGTGTAAACCCAAGTGACCAGGAAAACCCGAAAGAGACAGAATTTAAATGAAATTGATAAGATTATTTTCTTCATTAGGGACACAGGGACTCAAAAGAGGTTATATTAAGAAAAACAAGGCTAGGTGACGAGAGGGTCACACTTGTACTCCCAGCACTTTGAGAGGCTGAGAGATTCGAGACCAGCCTGGGAAACATAGTGAGACCTCGTCTCCACAAAAAAATCAAAAAATTAGCTGGATGTGGAGATGCGCACTTGCAATCTCAGTTACTTATGAGGCTGAGATGGGAGGAGTGCCTGAGTCCAGGAGGTTGAGGCTATGGTGAGCGGTGACAAATTAAGGTCCTTGACTTGAAAAAAGAAACAAAAACCTTACAGATACCCTTAAAAAGGAGAAGCTAAAAGAGTCTCTTTAAAATATGAATGCTCTCCAAAGGCTAAGCCTCAGCCTTCTGCTTTTTTAAAAACTGATCTTGCTATGTTGACCAGGATGGTCAAACTTCTAGGCTCAAAGTTATCCTTCTGCCACAGCCTCCCAAGTAGTTGGGATTACAAGCATGTGCCACCACAGCCCGCACAGCCTTCTGCTCTTAAGTGTTGCAGTAGACTCCTAAACTGTCTGGGTCTGCTTCTTCATATACATCGTGCACATTGATGTCAGGTTATATTCAAAAAACTTAAAATGATACTACCTTGTTGCTCAATATCCTTAAAAATTCAGTGTCTTCAACAATATTAAAACTTCTTAGCTTGCTCTCTAAGGCTCTTCTCAATCTGTTTCCTCTTACCCCTAGTTAGCCTTGCTTTCCATTCCAACACTAAGTCTTCACCTTAGACAAACTCATCCAGAAAATTCCCAAACTTATTTTTTTAACATCCTAGGTTCAATGTTTTTGAAATCCAGCCCTGTCACCTGCATGTTTCCTTCTTTTTTTTTTTTTTTGAGTTGGAGTTTCACCCTGTCGCCCAGACTGGAGTGCAGTGGCCGCTCCCGGCCACCGCAGCCTCGACCTGCTGGGCTCCGGCGATCCTTCCGCCTCAGCCTTCTAAGTAGCCGGAATTACAGGCGTGCGCTACCACACCCGGCTAATTTTTTGATTTATTGTAGAGATGAGGTCTCACCAAGTTGCCCAGGCAGGTCTCGAACCCGCGGGCTCAGGCAATCCACTCACCTCAGCCTCCCAAGGCGCGGGATGTTTCCTTCTTATTTGTGCCCTAACTTTATAGTATAAGATGCAATCACCTTTCTGAATTATTCCATGTGTAAGGGCTCTTTCTTTGTGGCATCAAATCTTTAGGTTGTTAAATGGTTTCGTGTAAACCCCTGTTTAAAATGTTGGCGTTAATTCCCGACATTTAGAAATCACTGAAGAATTGCAGACTCCAGTGGGACCCACACGCCAGCGATGGCTCAAGTTTACCGGTAGCTGCCCTTTGTAGACATGTGCTGTTCAATTCCAAAGTCACGGCCTTCATTTGAAAATATTTGCTGAGCACCTATTAGTTAGTTGCCAGACACCGTTTTTGGACTGGGGATACAGCGGTGAACAAAACAAAACTCATCGCAGAATTCACAGACAACACAATCAGTAAGTAATTACACTTTAGGAAGTGATAAGTGCTACGGAAAGAAAATGAAGCAGGGTTAAAAGGGACAGAGAACGTGTGGGCGGGAAGGGTACTTTGACATTTATTTAAATACCTGGCTGGATCCTACGGGACTTTGCGTTCGTGATTCTTGCTACTATCCGAGGCGTCACGTATAGCTGAGCACTGCCCCTAGGAAACGAGCTTCCTTTGTCTTCGGGTTCCCAGTGCCAAGGAGTGTTTTTATGGGGAGGACACGAGGGGAAGGAAAAAGTCATGAGTCGCCACGGAGATTTCACTTCGACCACCGCCCGCCCGGGAGTTTATTCCGGGGGATTTGGTTTGGGCGCCGAGGAGGCTGCGACACAGTCGCAGCGCCTGAGAGCACAGCCAGGACCTTCGCGGAATCTCAAAGCTACCTCTCTGCCGACGGCTCCGGCTCTTAGGCAACGGGACTGTGACGCGAACGCAGCCGCCGGACCACGGCCGCCAGTGACTAGACCTGTCCCCCAGGAACCGATGAAGTCAGAAGAAGCCAGCGGTCAGAGCCGAGAGTCCGACGCGAGAAATCACGGGCGGCCGCGCCCCCTACCAGCCGCCGCCCGCACAGCAGCTTCCGGGTCTTCGGCGACGCCCAGTTCCAGGCAGGACTATTTCCGGCCCCAAAGGTCCCCGCCTCCGTGGCTCGCCGGGGTCCTAGCCATGGAAAGGTGGCCGCAGCGGCCGCCTGACCCCTGCGGCGGTCTGGGACGGGGGCTGTCGCCTTCTCCTGGAGGGCGGCGGCGACAAAGGCGCCGGAAGGATGCCTGCGGCCGAAGGGACCTCGCAGGGGAGGGGAGTTGAGGGAGGAGCGCAGGGGCAGAGTGCAGATGAGGGCCGGCCTGTCAGGCGGGAGCCGGGCAGGTGCGCGGGCGGAAGTGCGGAGACGGCGGCCGAAGCGGAGCAGCCTAGGAAGCCTTGGCCGCGGGGTCACCCAGCGGGGAGCCGCCACGGAGCCTCAGCTTGACCGCGGCTCCTAGGGCTTCGTCGCCGGCGAGATGCCGCTGTTCACCGCCAACCCCTTCGAGCAAGATGTGGGTGAGTGCTGTGCCCGGCCCTGGACTGCGGTTTGTCCGGCTACAAAGTGGGCGGTGGCGACTCCGGGGACCGGAGAGCCAAGGGAGAGGAGGGGCGGTGCCGCCGTGTCGGCATCGGGATTTCTCTGGGGGCTACCTCGGCGCGTCGCTGGCGGCTCGGGGAGTGCCTCCTGCCTGCGTGAGGTTGGGGACCCCGCAAGGGCCGTTGCCTTCACCAAGCGTGGAAACGGGGTGGAGACTGGGGCTCGCCGGAGCGTGGACCCATTTAGGGACTGTGAAGTTGGCGGGGCAAACTTCCTGCTGCCTCTGGAGCTGGCTGACCCCGCCCCCCGCTCCCATTCCCTTTGAAAGTGATGCAGCGGTGGAGACCCCGCTGTCTAGGCAGCCCAACACGAGGAACCTAGGCTCGCCCCAGGAGTAGAAAGAACTTATTTCTCGTTGTTTACGTTACACATGCGTTCAGTCCCTGATAGGGCAGCTTCGGGATTTATTTACAGTTGTGAAGGTGGCCGGGCTGGGTGCTTTGTGCCTGTCATCCCTCCGCTTTGGGAAGCCGAGGGAGGCAGCGGATCGCTTGAGGCCAGGGGTTCGAGACCAGCCTGGGCAATATAATAGGACCCGGTCTCTACAAAAACAAAAAATTTTTTTCTTATAACTAGTCGGGTGTGGTGACAAGTGTCTGTAACCCCAGCTACTCGGGAGGCTGAAGCAGGAAGATCCTGTGAGCCCAGAATTCGTGCCTACAGTGAGCTATGACTGTACCACCGCCTTTTCCATACTGAATTTAGGCATACTTGCACTAATAAAGAAGTACTTGAAGCTTTGGTTGATGGCATTGGCCATGAAATAATTCATACGCAGCAGTGTTGTCCCTCTGAAAAGCAATACCTCTTTTACTACAGTAGTACTAAACTGTGATCCAGTCCACACAGGGACCTCAGGAGCCACTGAGGGGAAGGTTCAGAAGATCAAAACAGGTAGAGCAACCCTGCCTATTTCTACCAGAGAAGTTTTCAATCAGAAGACAATGAGCTTCTGGGAAAGATTTACCCTGAAGAAAAGTTCACAATTTTTAAGTTTTAAAATTATGTCTTATTCTATGTTGCACCTTGTTTTATTTCATTGGAGCAAAATTAAAATCGTCACAATAGCAATAAAAATTATAGGTCTCACAAAGATAATGTAATGGAAACAAAGGAAGAAATGACTGTCATTAGTTGTTCCAAAAGCAGAGAGTGAGCCTCAATGTGATGTTTCCTAGATGTATGCCTGTCACCTGTGTTCATCAAGAAAAAAGTTGAATGAGACAAAACACATACTTGAAGACTAAGGATCAAGATATTATAAATATGTACATGCATATTATACGATTCACACATATTTTATTTTTGTACCAAATAGGGTACAGTGTATCAAAATAGCGTACTTTCTTTTTTTTTTTTTTTCTGAGTTGGAGTCTCACTCTTTCGCCCAGACTGGAGTGCAGTGGCCACTCCCGGCCACCGCAGCCTCGACCTGCTGGGCTCTGGCGATCCTTCCACCTCAGCTTTCCAAGTAGCAGGAACTACAGGCGTGTGGTACCACGCCCGGCTAATTTTTGATTTATTGTAGAGATGAGGTCTCGTCAAGTTGCCCAGGCGGGTCTCGAACCTGTGGGCTCAAGCAATTCACTCACCTCGGCCTCCCAAAGCACGGGATTATAGGCTGAGCCTCTGAGCCCGGCCAAAATAGAGTACTTCTAGAGTCTCCTAATAATTGCAAAATGTTAACTATGGAACAGGTGACTCAGTGCTAAGATGTGCTGTATTCTGTATGACTCCAGCAATTTTCAGATATGCTTTTTGCCCCCTTCATTCCAAGTCCTAAAAACCAGCCTAGGGTTCTGTTAACTAATGCTACAAAACAAAAACTAAAAACCTGTGGTCCCAGCTACAGTCTTCTGCCTCCTAAGGCAGAGGTGGGAGAAGCTCTAGTCCAGCCTTGGCAACACAACAAGATCCAGTCGCTTAAAAATCTTTTCTTTTCTTAGTTTGTTTTATTGTTGTTCTAATTCTCAAAATAAGTTCTTATATATCATCCATCTTTTTCTCATTCTATAGTCACTAAGAGGCCAGTGCTCTTATGACTCCAACAAGTAAAGTATTCGTTGTTCTGGAGTGTTTTGAGACGCTAAGAATTTCCTTTTCATTCTCTAAAACAGAACATCATCTATCACCTGCTTAAATCTTGCAATACAGGTATAAAGAGTAACACCTTCATAGTTGTGTGGATTTTATTGTTGTTGTTTTGGAGACAGGGTCTTGCTTTGTCATCCAGGTTGGAGTGCAGTGGTGCTGTCATAGCTCACTGCAGGTACAAACTCCTGGGTTCATGTGATCCTCCTACCTCAGCCTCCTGAGTAGCTGGGGCTACAGACACTTGTCACCACACCTGGCTAATTTACAAAAAAAAAAATTTGTTTTTTTGTTGAGACTGGTTACCATTATGTTGCCCAGGCTGGTCTCGAACCTCTGTCCTCAAGCGTTCCTCTTTCCTTGGCCTCCAAAAGCAGTGGGATTACAAGGGTCAGCCTTCCAAGTAGCTGGAACCACAGGTGTATGTCACCATGCCCGGCTAATTTATTTATTGTTTATTTATTGGAGAGACAAGATCTCACCAACTTGTCCAGGCTGGTCTCGAACTCCTGGGCTCAGGCAGTCCTCTTATGTGTGCCTCCCAAAGTGCTAGAATTACAGGCATGAGCCACTACATCCAACTGGTATATTTTATTGTAAAGTAAATTTAAGTTTTAATTTAGTGCTATTTGTTATTCTCCTTGATTTTATTTGTCTTAAGAAAGCCTTTTGTACTCCGGAGTTATAAGGATCTTGTCATATTTTATTTATTTATTTATTTTTTGAGTTGAAGTCTCACTCTGTCACCCAGACTGGAGTGCAGTGGCCGCTCCCAGCCACCGCAGCCTCGACCTGCTGGGCTCCGGCGATCCTTCCCCCTCAGCCTTCCAAGTAGCCGGAATTACAGGCATGTGCTACCATGCCCGGCTGATTTTTTGATTTATTGTAGAGATGAGGTCTCACCAAGTTGCCCGGGTGGGTCTTGAACCCGCGGGCTCAGGCAATCCACTCACCTCAGCCTCCCAAGGCGTGGGATTATAGGCTGAGCCACCGAGCCCGGCCCCATATTTTCTTCTGTATACTTTATTCAAGTTTTTCAATTTTCATATTTAGGCCCCTTTCCTGACAGAACTTCTCCCAGTAGGAAGTAACAACCTCTTAACTGAAGTTATGATACAGTCAGTTTTTGATTAAGGGCATTTAAAGATCAGTCTCCTTTGGTAGGTGCAGATTCTTACTGGAGGGTGAACAGTCATTTCTGACAGCATTCATGTGTGGGTTAGAGTTCTTTTTTTCAGTCCATGAGAAAAGTTCTGGGAAGCACCCATGAGTTGATGATGATATGTGACTTGTCAAATGGAAACAGGCCAAAGGCTAGGATGTGAGGATCTCTGGTAAGTTACCGTCTTTTCGTGGAGTCAGAACCTACAAGCCCTGAAGGGTATCTAGGTTTGGTAGCATTAGAGCTCTTTAACATTTTATTGGAATTCTTCAATCTGGATTAATTTTTTGTTTTGTTTAATAAGATTTCATTGAAGCTATTCTTAGTGGGGGAAAGAGAAAATATCCACATATATCCCACCCCTTCTCCCCACTGGGGCTCAAATCTTAGGTGGGATACAGGACTCTTGAGGTGGAGCAGGCATTCTCAGAGGATGCCTCGGGTAAAGTGGAACATAGAGGGTAGAGCCACAGTAGGAAGATGTAGTGGTAAGTATTAAAAGGGAGAATGTGCCAGGCTCGGTGGCTCAGCCTGTAATCCCGCACCTTTGGGAGGCTGAGGTGAGTGGATTGCCTGAGCCCGCGGGTTCGAAACCCGCCTGGGCAGCAAGACCTCATCTCTACAATAAATCAAAAAAATCAGCCGGGCATGGTAGTACATGCCTGTAATTCCGGCTACTTGGAAGGCTGAGGCGGAAGGATCGCCGGAACCCAGCAGGTCAAGGCTGCGGTGGCCGGGAGCGGCCACTGCACTCCAGTCTGGGCGACAGAGTGAGACTCCAACTCAAAAAAAAAAAAAAGGGAGAATATTATCTGTCCCTGAGTCATGACTTGTGTGTTCTAAGCCCTGACCCGAGTTCTTATTTGTTTGTGTTTTCCTCTTATTTAAACCAGGCGGTCTTGCCACAATCTGCATCTGTACTATTTACCATTCATTGCTAAATTGTTTGCTCTTTTCAACAACCTTCAATACTGCCTTTAAAGATATACTTGTGTCCCACAGTGCTGAGCTCAGATTCTACCTCTACAAAACTCTTCTGACATGGAGATTTGGGGTGTGAACTTTTTAAAGGATACTTAAAAAAAAATTTTTTTTCTTAATTTTAAGATGTGGGATACAATTCAGGGAACAGGATACTTTTCCAGGTGAAATTTGAATGTGTGTTTTGCTGTGTCTCTGGCTTTTGCTGTGTTAGAAGAACTTGACCAGGAGATAGCTTGGTATTTTTCAGTCATGCAATCTTTTTTTCCAGTGAAATTTTATTAAAAACTCCAATACAAAATAAATATTGACAGCATTACAGTAATATAGGTTTATTTTATATATTCAAATTTTTAAAATTTACTTAATTAAGCCAACCATTGCACACAATGAGGTTGTCATAATCTTTGTAAAAAATTAAAATTAAAATTTTTTGGTTGTGAACGAGAATGGTAACTTTTACAGCCAATTTTTTCTATATCTTATTTTACTTGCAATGGCACCCAAAATCCTAAAACTTTCAAATAGTTTCAAATTTTAATTAATATGTTTTGTAGTTTTTTTAACTATGAAATATTTTGAGTATAAAATACATAAAATAAGATACAATGTAAACTCCCATTCCTACCAGCCAATAATGTCAAATCCTAATATTTTGGCATACTTTTTTTTTCTCCAAGGACT